TGTGGGGCTCGAACTCACAACCCTGAGATCAAGAGTCCCGTGCTCCACCGACTGAGCCAGCCAGGCGCCCCTACCATTTTTATGTCTGTCTTTTCCTTTGTGGCTTTTTGGTTTCCTGCTTCGCTTAATAAAGTCTCCCCAATCTAAGCTTATTTATGCAAATATTCTTCTAACTTCTCTTTTATTAATTTAATTGTTTTACACTTCACCTTTAGATCTCTACTCCACCTGGAAGTAATGTTATTTATGATGTAAGGAAGGATTTAGCTTTGTTTTCTTCCAGACAAAAAGACAGTATGTCAGGTAAACTTAGTAAATGAACCGTTTTTCTGCAAGTGAATTGAACTGTGATCTTTTCATGTATTAAGTCCCCATAAATACTTGGCTCTATTTCTGGATTTTTTTTTTTTTTTTACATTCCACTGATTTATTCGTTGCCTTTTCTGTGTCAGGATAATAATTTTTTTGATTATAGTAGTGTGTCAAAGAGGTTTTGGATCAGGAACATACAGCCAAATCCTAAAATAACAGTGACTTGGACAAAATAGAAGTTTATTTATCTGACAGGGAATAGGCAGCCCAGGGCTGATGTGGTGGCTTCATATTCATCAAGGACTAGATCCTTCCATCTTTCTGTTCCACTATCCTTGTATTAGCATCCATACTTAAGGTCAGCTCAGAGTCCAAGATGGCTTCTGGGATGCCAACAATCACACTCGTATTCCAAGTAGGAGGAAAGGCGGAAAGACTTTTTCAAACCTTCATCTATTCCTCTCTGAAGGCGTCATTCTGTAAACCCTTCCCAACAACTTTTAGATTTTAGTCACAAAGCCACATCTTTAAGGGAGGCCGGGAAATGCAAGTGTATAAGTTATAATGTTGTAATATTATTGGGGTGACACACTACTATCCTCATTAATATATAAATTTTGTTAGTAAGAAAGGAGAGAGTTAATGATGGCTGAGAACTTAGCAGTCTTTGCTCCAAGTAACTTTATAGTTACTTTTAAAAGCTGTTGAAGCATTTTGCTATTTTTAAAATGTTTTTTAAGAAACAATTTTATTTATTTATTTATTTTAAAGATTTTATTTATTTATTTGACAGAGAGAGACATAGCAAGAGAGGGAACACAAGCAGAAGGACTGGTAGAGGGAGAAGCAGGCTTCCCACGGAGCAGGGAGCCCGCCGTGGGGCTCGATCCCAGGACCCTGGGATCATGACCTGAGCCGAAAGCAGACGCTTAACGACTGAGCCACCCAGGCGCCCTATAGGAAGCTTTCAAGAGGGTGTCAATACTCTCTCTCTAGAATGTGGGACTATTTGTCGTATATTGTGCACAGATAACAGGAAAAATCTCATTCCACATCCTGTTACCAATGCTTAGTGGCCATTTGGGTTTCCTCTTCTGCCCCTGGCATGTGTACATCCTTTGTCCTTTGCCTTTTACGACCAAGTAGCAGGAGCTCTTTGTATATCATAGACCAGAGTTCGTAAACTATGGCCCTTAGGCCAAAACTGGCCAGCTGCCTGTTTCTGTAAGGCCTTCCTTCAAGTTAAGAATGTTCTTTACAGGGGCGCCTGGGTGGCTCAGTCATTAAGCATCTGCCTTCAGCTCAGGTCATGATCCCAGGGTCCTGGGATTGACCCGCACATTGGGCTCCCTGCTC